ATAGAAATAAGTTTAAAAAAAAAAAATAATAATAATAATATATATAGACCCTAATCAATTCCAATACTTGGAATATTTTAGTTTTATATTATTTTAGCGTTTGAGAAAGGATTCAATTTATTTCAAATAATCATGTGCTAGGTTCAAATAATTACGTAATAATTATGACGTCTCAATTAAACATGATTACATATTTTCACTTTTTAGCTGATTCTTTTATCTAAACATATTCCTGCAGCTAATATTTGCTTTAAAAAGACGTAATCAGTAATTGTAATAAGCATTAAAACGATTTTATTAGTTTTGATTTTATTTGATATACAGCAGGTTTATTATAATATATTATGTTTATTGTGTTACTCCTATTCAATCTTACAACTGCCCACGTAATAAGGCTATTGATTATATAGTTGCTTTGGTACAAAAAGTGTTTAAAAATAGTGTAGAACTGTAGCAGCCTGTGACTTATTAAAGAAAATGCAAAAAAAGAAAAACAAATCTTGACTTGTCTACAGCCAACATGGCAATTCATGGTTTGGCAATTTGGTAAATTGGTAGTAAATTAAAATTAATGTGTATGATATCATTTATACATTTTCATACTACCCACTTACTCCTCAGTAAGGTTTGGGTCTGGACTACTTTTTTTTTTCTTTCCCTAAAAGTTCATACATATTTGTACTAATCAAATTCGTATGAAATTGCCAGCTTGTCAAATAAATATGTTTTATCATGAGATCTGATTTGAAGAATCACGATCCACAGTAACAACCTGTGAGTGTGTGTGTGTTGCTTCAAGAGAGCAACCATAAATCTGCTTATTTTCTTAATTTTTTAATCATTAATTTCTAATCATGATTCATCATTTAAGTATTCCATTATATTATATAATTATTTAATAATTTTTATTATATTACATTATTATTTTCCTTCCTGTTGCAGTGCTTATTGTTGTTGAATCTTAAAGGGGTCATATGATGCTTTTTTAAAGATCATTATTTGGTGTAACAGAATATGTTGACATGCTTTAATGTTCAAAAAACACATTATTTTTCAAATACTGTACATTATTGTAGGTCCTCTATGCCCGCCTCTCTCAAACGCTTCGTTTTCTACAAAGTCCCTCCTTCCGACAAGCGCAGTCTGCTCTGATTGGCCAGCTGACCCAGTACATTGTGATTGGTCGAACACCACAAGCACGTGTCGGAAATGTAACGCCCCTTACCATAAACGCGAGCTT